ACTGCAATCGCGTCGAGTTTCGGTGTTTTAGTCGCTGGAAACGGATTTATTCAATGAAGGCATTGCCGAATTATACACGAATAATCGGCTCATGATGAAGCAGATTTGACCACTCTCAGAATTAACGAGCTTGAACGGCAGAAGCGCATTGTAATTATTCAGGAAATCAAAAATAGCACGGCGGCCGCGATCGCCGATTATTTGGAGACGACGAACCGTTCGACGTGTCCAGTTCCATAGAGGCGATTTCTATGGAGGACATCAGGGAATGCACAAGCTCGACGCATTTGTTTTCTGATGTCGAAGGAGGCTCTACTGAAAAATTTCCGGATATCAATGATGCAACCGAAATTCTTTGTTAATTTTTTGACAGTAACCTTTCTTTTTAGTTTTTAATAAATCAACAGTTTGTGATAAATAACTGTGTTTATTGGCATGCTTTAGATCGATACAATAATTATAATTTCTATTAATGTTTAAACGTGATTTGTTTGTCGTGCTCGTTTGAGTAAACATTTTTCAATCTAATTACGAATAAACATGATATCAAAATTCTTCATTAATTTGTGGCTCTAGATTTAGATATTTTTTGCGCTTATTCTATATTTGTCAATATTTCTAGTCAAATATAATATAATTTTACAATGAGTCTATAAATAATTTGGTTCTCTTCTATTATTAGTGATTATTTATGTTAAATGTGCATTTAACATTTGCAATACTAACATAGGAAATGCTATACCATATCTACTATTGCATAAATGAAGGATATCTAAATGAAAATTGAAATTTTAGGCTACAGAATTAGATGCATTACTCTGGACACTTGTTCTGTCTAATTACAACTAGTATGCCGGAATCGTCACCTAAAATTGTCCCTATTATTTCGAAGTATAAAAATTTAACTGATTTCTGTCATAGAATTGATAGGACATATTTCCTAGAAAGGTTCTACATAATAAATAAGATAAGACCAATGTAAGTAAAGAAGAAATATAATATTACATGTCATTTACTGAATAACTATAGTATTTAGATAGTAGTTTTATGAATTATATAATATAGTCTATTGTTATAATAGTTTTATGAATAAAATTTATCTTTGCATAATAGTTTTATTCTATTTAAATAAATGAATATATCTTTCTATTTTTTTTTTTGATAAATAACATAGGAATAATAAAAATTAATATGAATGGTAGTCCATAGATTCTCGCAATCCTAAGCAGTCGACTTCGTCTATTTTTAAGGAGTTTGTTTTTATTTATATATCTTCTTCGAGTTGAATTTGAGCCCTCAGTAAGTAGCGAAGCGATGCTTGCGACTCCAGAAGCATATTCTGTGATAAAAACTATTTATTAACTTGGATTTATAGGCAGTCGATGACAATATTTAAATAATTACAGTGATTGAATATGTGAACACATTGTAACTTTTGCTTGTTGCTCATGATGTTAGCAAAATACACAAATTACTGAGAAAATAAAACCTAATTTTAGTTATTTAACTTATTTGTTTTATGTTATTAGGACATTAATTTTTTTTATTTTTACCTGGAGTTTATGAGTATTCTCTTTAAGCTGTCGAACCTCATACATTAATTTAGCGTCTACTGGATCCTTACAAAATTCTATACCAGGTCTTTGGGCACGATTTCCCAATCTAATTGAATTATTAGTATTGTTTTAGTTCTAATTTTAAATAAATATTTAAGTAGAAAATATCATTTTACATGATACTGACTTCAATATTATATAAAATGCTATTCGCTAATTTCAATTTCAATTCTTGAAATGTATTACCTTGTATGTGCCAGTGCCAGGAAGGATTCCTTTTCATAGAGCGCTTTTTCTAAACCAGTAATATTCAGGGTCATTTCGTTCGCTTGCCGTTGCGTCTGAAAAAAAAATAATATACTTCTGATTTTACAATTATTTGTGATTGCGCATACCTCGGCATGTTTAACTTCCATTTTAGTTTTTGATTCCCTAATTTCTGATATACGTATTCGAAACGCTTCATTTACCCGATTATATTGCTCCATTAGATCGGTCGTTACCTAATGTAAAAAATATTTATTTATTTATTTTTATCATTTATTTTTAGTCATTCGATGAGATAATTATAGCTACAACATTATTATTACTACAACTAATTATCTTATGCAGTATTTTTATCAAAGTCATAGGTCATAGCTGATATTAATTATCTTAATAGTATTGTTTAACATTAAAATTGCCTGTTTAAGTAGTGTATCCACGTAGGACCTCATTATTCTTCCGCTGTTTATTTCCTTTGCACCACGATCTATATTCTTGCAGGTGTAGTCTACGTATTCTTCATATGTTATTGTTCTAGAAAATAATATGTAAAAGGTGGTATATATATATATATATATATATATATATATTATATTATATTATATTTTCAACAGCGCTCAGAACTACATTTTCTACGAGTTATTTGCTATAGTAACAGATATTTTCATCTTATCGCTGCTGTATGTTTTTAAGCGAAATTTACTTGATTTTTTTATTGGATTTCAAGTGGAAATTTGCTATTATACTGCTCGATATCAATCTGGCCAAATGTTTGGATCGACCCTAGACTAGTTTGTCTTAGCCGACGTTTTCTACCGTTACACGACTAACGATAATTATTTATTATATTAGTAATATTAGTTAACCTACGCAGGATTCAAGGGCTGAGTCCCTTCGTAAATCGAGAGGGCCATGCTGTTGTTATTAAGACTTTTGTTGTATTGGTCGATTCTTAATGCCGCTGTCTTGTCCTCGTGGTCACGGTCTAAAAAGTACACAGTGGAACGAAGCCGTCGAATCTGTTCATTTGCCTAACACATGATATTTAATTATTACTTACTTACTAACATACAGAATGTAAAAAGTACGTATAAAAATGTATTAAAATAATAATGAATGGCAGGAGATTCAGATAATATATTGAAGATCCATAATAAAATTTTGAAAAAATTTAAAACGTTTAGTGGTAATATGATAGATTATCATAGTACCTCCTCCATGGTGCGTTGGAGTAAACACTGAGCACCTTGAATTACTTCAATTCTTTTCTTAGCTCTCTTTCGACGTCGTCTTGGCAAAGATCAATTCCTAAACGACCTTCTCTAAAAGGAAAATATACAGTTTCATTATAGAACAAAAATACTCAAAACCGCCGTATATGAAGCGACAACTTTTTAAAT